CAGCCATTAGTTATATTGGACTTTCACTAGCGTCTTTCACTTTTTGCGATAACTCCAAAGTTGTTCTTTTCCTCTTATTCCTATCTTCTTTTGCATCGATACAAGCCATTAGGGCGAAATAAGCAATTATCCAAAGTAAATTTCCTGAAAAACACAAATTTTAAATCAAATATGACCGAAATTGTTCAAAAATACACATCAAAATCATGTCCGGGTATGCGGGATTCCGTATATGAGGGACTCCAGATATGAGGGATTGCGGATATGCGGGATTCCGTATATGAGAGATTCCAGATATGAGGGATTGCGGATATGCGGGATTCCGGATATGAGAGATTCCGGATATGAGGGATTGCGGATATGCGGGATTCTGGATATGAGAGATTCCAGATATGACAGATTCCGGATATGAGGGATTCTAGGTATGAGGGATTCTACTGTATTTTTATTTCGGCATTTAGCTATGTCGCTAAATAAAAACACCAAATCAGCACAATAATCTTAGAGGTTTCATTCGCTCAAAGCCATTTTTAATAATTGATTTGAGAGAACGTTTGTATGCCGCCGGCAGTTGATACATTTCGGAATGAATCTGTCGCTATGCAGTACATTAATATGAAAATCTTGGGCATAGGTTTCAACACATTGGCATTTTTTATGGTTTTTGAATTTCCATACATTCTTTAAAAACTTAAAAGTAGCATCAAACGTTATCTTCTGTCTTTTTGAATTCTGTCCTTTTTATTCTCCTTTCTCTTGTCTTTCACTCTCAGTAATTTGTTCCGTCTCAGCTTCTTTTTACTTGACTTTCTTGATTTCCAGTGCTCTTCAAAAATGACGATGTAATCTCAAAATTCTCTCTTCTTAATTCCTGTTCTTTAATTTTCTCTCTCATTAATATTTTTTCGTATACTCCCACACATAGCAACTCCTTGAGTCTTGGGGGCTTTATTACCTTGATGGGAGTGAAATGATTAAATGAAAAATCAGGAGAGAAAGCTAAAGGCATGAACTTCAAAGCGAAGATATCAGAATCTAACGGGTACAGAACTTTAAACTATTTGTATCATGTAGTAACAGACGATAGAAAGTGTGACACAGAGATAAGATGGCAGATCGGAATAGAAAGTAAGACACTCAAGGACACATGACACACAGTGGATAAAGGTGTTGGTTAGATCCAGTGACAGGACCCAAAGAGTGTGAGTTCAATACCCGGTTAAGGCAGTGGAGAACTTTCAGAGGGAAATTAATAGGAGATAACTGATAACTGGCATCCATTAAATATGGCACGTGGAACAAGAACAGTCTACCCCAGTGAGCGAATTAAAGGGTTCAGATTGACATTCCAATTACCTGAAGAAGCGAAACGTTGTAATAAATATTGCGACAAAGATGAGGACAATAGTCCGAATAATGTAAATAGTGTACATAATACCTCATCTCAGAAATATAGACAGATACTGAAAGGCCGAAACGTTGTAATAAATATGGCGACAAAGATGAGGACAACAGTCCGAATAATGTAAATAGTGTACATAATACCTCATCTCAGAAAAATAGACAGATACTAAAGTAAGAAATGTATTAAAATGTAGGAATAGTTTGTTTTGTTTTTTTAGGAACAACGAAAAGACTGAGGAAATGCAAGACCATATGTATCCTCTTGCATGGCAGTGAAAATGTGAGAATTTCCTCAAAGATAGAGACCCGAAACGACATATATGATGTTCTACCGAAGAATTCTGAGACTATCATGGATAAAATAAGCAGCCAGCAAATGAAAATGTGAACCAATAAAAGACAGCCGTACTTCAAATAAAAAAGCGACATTTGAATTTTCAAGCACATATGAGAAAGAACAACTTGGAAGTTTTAATGCACACAAGACGTAGGGGAGGCTTTCACTTCTACCTCTCTTGTCGAACTCTCTGCCTTTGGGCAGAGAGAAACCCAGACTAGGCTATGCCGAAGGGCAGGGTCTCATTTGGGGAAGTAGACAAACTCGACGCCGTTTATACGTGGTCTAACGGCAATTTTTGCCCGAGACTACGGGCTCGGAAAGCCCCACCTTAAAAGCTGACCTTGGGCCACATTTTACCTTGTGGAGAGGTTGGTAAATAGATAGGACGTATCGGGAGAATAGATGAAAAGATTGAGCCACTCACGAGTCTGTGTTAATGAATGACATTTCAGGAAATAGAGATAGGGTCAAGCGGCTAACGTTGCTTTGAAGCCACATGAAGTTGTGGAGATCCTTAATTTTCCAGGTCCTGATGGAATATGGTACATAAATGACGATACAGATGATTTGAAAATCTTTTCTGAAAGATTCCACGAAAAATCAGCATTTCACTGAAGGACGAGATGGTATTGAAGGTGAAAAAAGAATTGACAGAAAAGCGACATCAGATTGTGAAAAAAAAATCGATCTGTCCGAGATTTAATTGAGAGCGACAGGCGATTAAGAATACAAATAATAAATAGGTAACATTATAGATATAAAATATCTTATTTGGTTTTGTCCATAGAATTTTACATGAAAAATGAAAGTTGAGCCAACTTTCTGATCGTTTGGCAAGAAAACTGTTGAGCCGAAGTGATCAAGAGAAATGAGCGGAGATTTCAATAGACAGTTGAAACAAATGGTTACCTAGGTGAAGTACAAACTGTGGACAAAATTATTTTAACAGTATAAGGCTCAGTCAAATCAATTGCCAAACAAAGATAGAAATTAATTAGTCAAAGCAAAAAAATGAAGTCAGTTAACACTGATTTTTTTTACGGTTTAGCAAGCTTTTGTAGGTTATATAAAGCCAAAAATATAATTCTATTGTAAGATGTTTATGGAGATAATAATGTTTTACTGATATTAATTAAACCGTATGAAAAAAAGACATGGATTCATACCTTTCTCAACGGTTGAATTAGAACTCGACTTCCGAGTTAGAGCCATTGTGCATTATTCTACCCGCATATACTAGCTTTCAACATCTGGTATTCCCAAGTGGTCGCCCATCCATATGCAAACCAGGCACAGCCTTGCTTAACTGTCGGTAATCCAATCAGAACCGATTGATTAAGTGATCCGTTTTCTGTTTTATTAACCCTTTGCAGGTTATTTAAAATCAGAATATACTTTTAGATCGTAAGATATTTTCAGATAATAATTATTTAGTGATATGCCTTACTAATTAACCCATAGCTGGGGAAGAGTGATAAATTCCTAGCTTTTCCAAAGATATTTGCAAGTGAATACAACGAACACGATTGTAATTGGAAATCAGGAAGCCGACTTTGAATTCTTAGCCGTTATCCATGACACCACCCGCATATCCAAGTGTACAGCACCTGGTATTCCCAATCGGTCGCCCATCCAGTTACTGACTATATTCGATGTTACTTAACTTCGGTTAGAACCGGTTGATTGAATGATTGTTTCGTTTCCTATGGCTTATCACTCTTTTCATGTTATTTAAATCTAGAGAATAGTTCTAGATTGTATGATATTTTTTTGAGATTATAATGCTGTAGATATACAATGCTTACTAACTAATCCATAGATGGGGGAGAAGAGATGGATTCATACTTTTCCCAAAGTTATTTGTCCGTAGGTGTGTCTAACGAACCCAACGGGAATTGAAACTCGACCATCCAATTAAAAATTCCGAGTCATTATTCATTATACCACCTGCACAGGCAAACTTTACAACACCTGATATTCCCAAGCGGTCATCCATCCAGGTACTGACCACATTCGATGTTGCTTAACTTACCTGATCGCATGAGAACTAAAAATTATAGAAAGAAACGCTTAGCGTTAAGCTTAATCGGAGAATGCATTTCCCACTACGACAATTTCCATGACTATTCCACTCATAAAGCATCGGAAACACTACGAGAATTTCGAAGGGAAATCATTAAAAACTCAACTTAGAGTCGTGATTTAGCATTTGAGCTTTTCAGTTATATGAATAAATGCGAAATAAGAGCACAATTATACCGCAAATTCTGCGGTTATAAAGCCCCTACTCTACTATATATTAGGTATTTACTTGAACCCCATCCAACATGGAGTCATTTTGTGGCACTTAATCGGTTTAATGTGGGGAACCCGAGCGCGTAAACTCGAGCTAAGGACCAGAATTCCCCGAGCCACCGGTGCGAGTACCGATCCCTCTCTCTGGTGGAATGAGAGGGCGCAGCTCCGGAAATCTGCTCCCCAGGACTTCACACCTCACAGTGTGAATTTCCCCAGTTCTGCCCCTGTCCTCTGACGGAGCCGCAACTGATTCGGACTAAAAATAGCTTCCAGTGAGCGAGGCGTGTAGACCTCATTGAAGCGCATCTGTACAGGAAAACATTCTTCGCACTAAATAGCTGGTCAATTATGGCTGGCTCATAAACAATACTAATAAAGCCATCCACGTCATACTGGACTTGAGAAGCTTACTTTCATTAACTGCTTTCAAAGAAAAATTTTATGAATTTCTACCGACTGAACACTGTTTGGCCAATGTATAAGGATGCGGTTAATATTGCCATTATCATTACTTTTATTATCATTAAAATCTTGTGTCTCAAATTCACTTCAGGTTTAAGCCTTTGAGCCCCGCGTTCCTGAACAATTTAAACCTGTCGGAATACTTCAAATTTTACCCACCGTTCAACCGGTGGTTGAGTATTACACCTTTTTTCTCGGTGTTCAGTGCTCAAAGGGATAAAGGGCGATATATTGTTAAGATGCTCAAAAATGGTCAGCGCTTTCTGTCGATCCAAGAAGTACGTAACACTATGTCATTTGTTATCTTTACAAGAGACAGATTAGACCGATGCCACTCAAAAAGAGGTACGCATCTGCCGGTACGCGGAGAGTTTCCAATGAAAACAATGAAACAGTAGACGCTTTCCACGCTACGAGAGACTTCCTGGATATGTGACTGTGTTTTTTTTTTAATTTTCATTTTAGTTCATAATCTATCCGGTATAAATGAAGAATA